CCATTTAAACCTATATTAAACAATCGAATCCTGTTGGAGCACCAGCAGGTCGATTGTTGAATCGTTGTCGAATGACCTTGATCGATAAATAGCATTGTAAAGATAGGGATTTATCGATCAAGTCCATTCGATAACGATTCAACAATCGACCCGCTGGCCCCTACTTGAATCGATACATTTCCAGAGGTTTGAATGGAAGGAAACAATGTTGCCATTTGGCTGGATCCACTGATGAGAGGCATCCACACTGCGGTCACGCTGATTGACTGGCTTAGGGGCTAGGCCATTTTTGCGATATTAGAGCTATCTATGATTATGATTTCAATGCAAGCGAAAAAGATTTTACCGTACACTGTTACAGATGAAATAATCTAAATCCTCTAACAGGATAAAAAAAACGTCCAGCATAGCGTTTCAGTATGACGCTTTTGATTACACATAGCGTCTAAAAATATCCAGTGTTTTATTTTTTACAGTGTAGGTCAAAATTGTAAGTCGAGTTTTGCGGTGTGAGTTCATTATAAGTTGGTCATTAGTGAATTGTACACCTTTATGATGTATTTAATGTGAATAGTTGCAATGGCGAGACAATATTGTTAATTCCTATCTTCATGGATCCATAAACTAGAATTTTATAAGCTCTATAAATCCTTTATGATAAAGATTTACAATGAATTAAAAAGTCACTAAATTTGGTCTAATTTTGACGCCGATAAGGCAGAGGTTGATGATGCATTTATCTTAATGAACGTGAGATGGATTGCTAGAATATTCCCGTTTATCGTTGGGAGGACATGTTGCAGTAATTAGTGGGGGAGAAAGATAATTCCTTTCCATTCTCGTCTTAAAAACAAGACATTTATCTTAAAAATTTACGTCAGTTTGCGGAAAAAATCCAACTTATGAGGCTAAACGTGCAGCATCCTCCTATGAGAGTAAACAGGAAATATTTTAAAATGTTCCCTCCTTCATTTTTGTCGACCAAAGCTGCATCTTTCCTTAATTAGTGAAGGAATCCAAATTAAAAGTTTCATTATTTTTAATCTCTACGACGAAACTTAAAGTAGACTAAGGGTTAAGGGTTCGATCCGTTTCTAAAAAGCTTTCCGCTTAAACGTTAGGACGGCACAGAATGATAAGAATGTTATTAAGATTTTGCGGTGGTCGGTAAAAACTGTTAAGAGATATTATAGAGGGCAAAAACATTTAATCGGTGAATTACGCTGGGTACAGCGCATCTTACGATTCAACGAGAATGCCTCCTTGTCACATACATCACTTCGAAGAATTTCTTGAAGAAGACATTAGCGCAGCAGGGAGGGGAATTCTTTAGGAAAAAGCTTACTTGGTTCGCTCTTGCCCCAGTTTACTCTCTCTACATCAGTCAACAGCTTGGGCAGATTCTAGCTGAGTGGGACAACCAGCGCGCCGCAAATTTTGAAAAATAAATTATTTTAAAACTTGCAAGTTAAATCTTTGTACTGCACAGATACTTCGTAGGGTGATAGACCAGGAACACGGAAGGTGCGAAGCTACTTGGAAAAATAAATTAATGTTACGTTATTAATGTAAAAATTATGTATCAAAGAATCTGCTCTTAAAATATGGTTCGCAGAATTCCATCAGGATTCTAAGGAGAAAGATATAAGACGCTCAACGCTTTTAATTTTTATAAGCTACCGGTTTTTTGTTCACTTATTTTTTGTAATTAAATTTATTGAGAAAATTCAATTTGGTAAGAAAATTACCATCGATGCGCTTCATTGTGCGATGGTTCCTTCCAGCCGATCGAGAAAAAGCTACGTAAAATCACGAAAATGAATTTCATTCGATCCTTCTTCACATTGCTAAGGGGTGGAATTTAATTCACAAGAGGGGCGCATTGATTGGCTTTTGCTGAGAATTCTGCGAGCTAAATTACCAGTAAGTTCCATATTTTCTGGAAAATTTGATTTCTTTCCGCTAGATTCTGCGGACAGCGCCTCTTTAGAAGTTTTTGTGACGTCACAGCAGTGGCCCACTTCCTCCGTTTTTCATTTTCTCCGGCCACACATTTTAAATTATCTGAATTCAGAGCATGCCTCGCGGTTCGGAACGCGGCCACAAATCAAAACCCACAAAAAAAGCGACCTCAAACTTGAGAAATTATGACGGTCACCCTAGATTTTTTGTGGACTGACAAGTGGACTGAACCGGTGTTGCATACTTACGAGATTAAAATAAAATCAACCGCGATAGTTTGTATTAAACAGTTGATTTTACGAATAAATTTGCGGCTTGCCTGGAGGAGTGATGTCAAATTTCGGTATAATAAGCAGAGGTTTCCGAAAAAGATCAATACAAAATCAAAGAATTCCAATTGAAAATTGACAACGCTGGATTTATTGTGAGTTGTGATGAACGAGTTATTGGGCTGGTTTCGACACAGGTATTCCGAGAACTTTGACTCCGTGACGTCATCGAATACTGCGTGGTGGCGCGAACAGAACTTGTAAACAAATATTTGTGGGCTTTTAATCGAACTTCTTCGCGCACCGTGAATAACCAAACGAAGCAGAATACAGCTTATGGTTTTGCATTCACACGTGGATTTGCCAATTCGGACTGGAATTCTTACTTCGAACTGTACTCGATTCCGAGCCTTTTACGCTTATACACATTAGGACTCCAAAATCGAACCTAACCTCTTCCTCTTTTCATCGGTTGATGGAGATTCGGAAGGTGAAGAGACGATTACACACGAAAAGAACAACAATTAATGTATAGACAAAGTTCGATTTCAGAACAAACTTTGCACAATTGAATCGAAGTAGGCAGAAAGGTACCAAGTTTTTTGGAAAACAAGGGGTCTGCTTGTTGTGGAAGTTCTCTTTCATTTATTTCGCGTTTCAAAATTTGAAAAAATTGCTTTTAAAAGTAAAGCAAACCGACTCAGATGTTATCCACCTCTTCTCATTATTATTTCTCGCTTTTTGGGCATTAACAGAGGAGGCCTGCCTATCGATGCGTACTTCATGACGGGGGTATCCACGACAGCGTTACATGTAGCGTTACATTGGGAGGAGGAAGGTCAACAAAGCAGAGTAAATGCGTTACGTAATACCAATACGCTCTCAAAAAAGTTTGTTCCTTTCTCCCTCCGATCCAAATAAACCAAAGCCTTCCAATGACCTAACAAAATCGATATTCTATTTCTCTGAACCTGATGACTCCAACACGAACTAGTTTCGATGAGGGTTCGCTGGTATTATGATTCTGGGACCGGAGCAAATTTTTCTTGAGAGTTACGAGACTATGATTATGGCCGGGCGGAAATTTCGCGTCTCGCCGTCGAGCCTCATCGGCGGGCAATAAAATTGCGGCAATCAAGCCGAACGGACGGCCGCGGCCGCGGAGACTGGGCCGATTTAAAAGCAGTTTACAACTTCTCGGTTAAAGTTGAGGGAAATGGCCCGCGACGGATCATCGGAATCGATTGAGGTCACGCCACGTTTTTGGCGCTGACCAATTCTGCCGTGCTAAGGAAGAACGCCGTATGAACATTCGAGAGTTGCCAAATTTCCCCCGATAAAACGTTCGTTTTTGAGAAAAATTATGAATATTTTCCCTTGAAATTTTCAGGAACTTTAGATCGGAAAACAAACAATATTCTTTGAAAAATTGGAAGAAAAATATTGATAAATTTACAAGGGAATTGGTGTTTTGTCGAAGGAAATTTGGCAACGCCTGAAGGTTCATACGGCGTTTTTCCTTAGCACGGCAGAATTGCTCCTGGCCTCCTCCGGGTCCGGCCTGGGGCACGCCGGACCAAGGAGCAGAGCCATAAACGCACCCGAACTCGCTTCAAGGTTAATTGGACTACATTTCGCGATTCGGAACTACAATTTCTGGCTCAGTTTAGAAACAACGTATGTGTCATTAGTTTCCCTGCGTGCATAAGTGTTTTTACGGATGAGGGTTCCTAATTGCAAAATATAGTAAGTGTCGTCGTTCTCCGACCGAAAGAGCGTAACTTCATACCGAAGTTGAAAAATGTATACTCGAACTGTTAAATTTCTGTCTTAAACTTAGCAATGTATTCTAAAGAAAAATCCGTAAGATTTCAAATTGAAAATAAAGCTGGGTTGGGGTTAAATACACCTAAATGGCTACAAGGTTGAATGCGGAGCTTTCAGTGGATTTTCTTCGAGGAAAGGGAGAGGGGACAGCCCCCATGGCCCCTGGGGGCCGGGCCCCCACTCCCTGTTTCCGCGAATATTGCGCGACTCCCAAGCATCCAATTTCGGATGCATCCATACCTAGTATATTATACCAGCCCCACACGATTGATCACAAGTCTTTCTTTAAAAGTCTCATTGCAAATTTGACTTGTTTGCTTAACGATTTCCTTCTAACGACCCTCAAAATAGGACAAAATCAAACAACCACAAAACCTGTGCTTTCCTTAAAAATTCCCTCAGAATACGAAGAATTTGATTGGAATGGATGGCAAAAAATATTTTCCGGTATGCGTCCCAAAATCCTCAATTTGTAAAGATGACTGGTATATAAAACTGAAGAGACAGAAGCAAAAAGACGTTAATAGCCTGAGACGCTGAATGTCTTAAAATTATACTAACTAACTATACGTAGAGTGGAGACACGAATGACATAAATCATAGGTTTTTCTGAGAATTTTCTCTGTCAAAATAACTGAACGCAAGTATTACCGGTTAAACAGATCGTGTTATTTTTCGCTCGTCTGGAGGGCTGGACCATCGAAACAAGATGCCGTGACTGATACTACAGACCTATTCGCCCATTCACAAGGATTGGACACATTTCAGTATAGACGCTGTAAGAATCTTATGGCACAGTTCACACGTCCTTTAATTGATACGCATACAGCACATAAAGTGGTAACCGAGGACGCCCGACGGGCGTATTGTGATGGGAATTGTTCCTTATGAAAAATGGGAGGAAATTACGAGGTCTTCTTAAGAAAATAAAAATCATGGTACCTTCGTAAGAAACCGCAGTCTCCTGAAATTGCATCGGGTCACGGCTGAAGACGGAATCCACGTTTTATCCATGATTCAAGAGCCACTTCATAATAAGCTTCATAAAGCCGTGTATAAAGATAGTGTTAGCGGAGTTAGGAAAGATCGCTTTTTAATGGTGGGCCAGAAAAGGACAGCCTTGAACGGTATTAGTCTAAGTATATTTCACGTTGCAAAATTTCTTCTCGGATTTAAGTTCTTCGACAGCCAAAATTTTGAAAGTACATTCTTTTTAACTTACATTTGCCGAACTTTCGAAGGATGATTATCCTTGGTACTGTTGAAAACACTAAACAAAGACATTCTGTACCGTGAGACCTAGTTAAGCTGATTTCACATAAATCACCTCGAAAAACCTTGTTTTTTATTTTAAAAAAGACGACACAGCAAACAAACTTTAGGAATGTCTAAAATAACACGGTGTAGAGCGAAACGAACTGCACAATATGAATTTTGACGAGACGAAACTTCTACCTCATTATTGCAATGCAGAGAAAATGAGTCCGCGAGGTCCAACATAAACAGTTTTGAGTAAAGACTGTTATATGAGCTTCTGACCGATAATCATGACTGATGATCAAGATTGATGGATAAACAGATCGAACAGGTACATGAGAAAATCATACTGAATACGCAGTGATTGAGAAGGCAGAGGAGCTCTACTTCAGTAACGGAGGATGAATACTCGACTATCGATATTATCTCACGAAACAATCGTAAAGAATATATTATTATTTAGGGTGTAGTTGCGGACACCGGATAATTCATCCTTTCTTACGGGTTTCAATGACGGATTGAAAGGAATCGAGAAATAGGGGCAGGGCAAAAATGCAAATCTGCATTGAAAATTTTAAGAAAAGATCTAAGTAAGTAAACAAACATTGGACAGAGATGCATGCGAAAGAGGAAATTATACACAAGGATCGGCTGAACTCCACAGCATCTTAGGTGTTCATTCCGTTTATTTCACATGCAGGTTCCGTTTATGCACCGTTTAACAGTGCGAGCGGGCAAGTCCATCTACAAAAATGCAGAAAGAAGGCGTTCTATCTACCCCAGCAGGTTGATGTTGAATCGCTACGACCTTGATCGATAAATCCCTATTCTAGCGATGATATTTACTGATCAAAATTGGACGTATTTATACTAAAATGAACCAGAGACGGTTAGGAATGAAGGGGTGTGCTCGTCAGTTAAGGGCCGTGAGATAAAATGGGAACTATAAAGCGCCAGTGACGTCAGCGTCGACGACAAGGACGAAGATCTAGACGACGGGAGTCTTTAACTCATGAGCCCAGTCCACAACGCTCTTAAGACATGCCCACGGCTCATGAGTTGTCATATTTCAGCGCTTGGTTCCCTTCGGTTGAATGTTGAATCCCACTTTTCCATTTTCCCGAGAGATATCACGCCCACTTTAATAATGTTTCTTAAGCAGCTTTTACGAGCACACTCCATCTTTCCCACATGTTTATAGTTCCTTTTAGCATAAATACGTCCAATTATTAAATACCTTTTCAAGAATCCATGCGCTGTCCATTTTTCCTGCAATTTAATACCTATGATCCATGTAACACTTCTAGGCGTAGAAATTACCCCAAATGTAGGGTCCATGGGGACTAGCCAAGTCCCCGACCTCGGCAATTTCACCAAAGAAGCGTAATGTGTGTACTGATTAATGTCTTTCCTGCAATTTATCTCACATAATTTTGCCAGGACAGAAAAAAAAACAACACTTTCGCAAAGAAACAGGGATGCATTTAAACGAAAAGAAAAAAAAAAACCAAATTTTCACTCACTCGAGCACTGAACTGCAAGAAAACCACAGACGAACATCTCATAAATTCACGCAAATGAGCTTCATTAACCTCATCCCCTCGAACACTTTTGCCAAATGAACTGAGGCTCACTGTTGCCATGTTGTACTAAAGACACCTCTTTTGCACGTTGAAAAACACGAAAAAAGCGCGAATTTTGGGGTTAGAACGGGGGCGTTCGTGCCGGCTGCGTTAGCGGTTGGCGGCGGGAGGAGCGAGCGGACGCCAACAATGAATGGGACGTAATTGAAACATCACTACGATTTAACACGTGACAAAAACCTCGGGTGATACTACGGCGACTTTACGAGCCGAGAGCCTTGTTTTCCGGAGGATTTTACAGCTTTTTTACGGGCCGAAACCAAATGAAATTAGCGGATCGCGTGCCCTAGTTGCCGAATCGAAAGTGAAAGGGGGCGTTCGACTCGTTAAAATACGATGGGATGCTAGGGAAAGTGCTTGATGCGGAAAATTTCGAGGGAACGTCGCACTCCAAAAAAGAGATTTCAGGGTCCGGCAAAACTTCTGATTTTCTACAAAAGTTTTCTTCTCCTTGCGAATGGGGGAGATATTTCGTCTCTTTTTTGCCTCCAATTAGGTTCACGTAAACGAATAGTCTTAAATATGCCGAATCTTCAGATTTTTAAGGAGTTTTTTTTTTTTTTTTTTTTTTTTTTTTTTTTTTTTTTTATAGATTGATATTCCTAAAAATTTCCCACAATTTCTATTCAAAAATGTCACTGCTCGGTGTCTATGGTGCCATGCTTTAAACGGACTAATATTTCTAGAAACGGAGAATTTACACGACATTTTGTTTGATTGTTCCTGCATCTGAGATTGTCATTATTTGTTCACGCACGGAATATTGTAGAGAAACAGATTCGAAAGTAAGAAAATCTACGGCCTTATGGCGTTATGTTATGAGCCGGCATTTCCCGTTTAAAAAACATACATTTTAGCAGATTAGGCGATTTTGCAGTCTTCTCTAAAATGGTTCATTTTTGGATTTTTCGTGAAGCCAGGGATATCATCGTGCTCAGTTCACTCAGAATAGTTTCTTCTCAAACATGATATTCCTAAAATGGAGATGTTGCATGTGTAAGGAATTTGCGATTTGACTGTTGATTCTTCTGCAAAAGTTCGCGAGAAACACGATGGTGCCACTGGTTTTCTCTGCAATCATCTCCCAAGCTCAAAAAAAGCTCCCAAGTTGAGGCCAAAATGGAGGGGATATCCCACGCTGTCCTGAGAGTCCACATCTACATCAAGACAAACTCTCCATGCGAAGCTAGGGAGCAAATACATCAGCAGGGTTGCCGTTTTTTCAGTTTTGGAGTCCCAAAATAAAGTGACAGCCCTGTCAATGTATTTGCTCCCTATCTTTGCATGGAGAGTTTGTCTTGACGTAGAGGTGGACTCTTAGGATAGCGTGGGATATCCCCTCCATTTTGGGCTCAACTTGAGAGCTTTTTTTGAGCTTGGGAGTTGATTTCAGAGAAAACCAATGGCACCATTGTGTTTCTCGCGAATTCTTACGTAAGAATCAATAGTCAAATCGCAAATTTCTCACACATGCAACATCTCCATTTCCGACGCCAGCAAAGTCTCAGTTTCCAAAAATTGTGTGTAATTTTCCGAGCGACCACGCAACTTGGGACCGCACTTACCGCAATCCCTCGGCGTGGCGGTGGCGCCCGGCTTATCCGCACTTTGACGCCCGCACGTTTAGCCGCCTTGACGCCGCGCCGCGTCGCGCCGCTTAGGGCTCTCCCGTTAAAAAGCTATAAAACCGCGTGACGAATCCTTTCGGGCCGAATTAGCTTCGTCACTGAGCTTCACAGCTTCGGATGCGTCTCATTTCTGCCGAGCTTCCAGTTCACGCTCGCCGAATGTTTCCAGGGATTAACTCTCCCTCCCTCGAAATACCACCTCGGATGCCCCTCGTAGCTTAAAGGGTTAAACCCCGGTAACAGCCACATTGTCAAAAACACTCGTAAAATCATCATTGCTACAAGCTCTCTCACTCCTCAAATTTTCTTACATTTTTCTGAGTTATTTCGGACACTCTGCCAGTCCGAATTTCATAATTCGTCGTATCCCGGGACGAAGGAACGTAACCCCATCCCCAGGTTGCCAAATTGACTCAAAAATTGATTTATTTGACAAAAATGCATCTGTGCAATTTTATCGAAAACCCTTCTGATTTTTGCATGAAATGTGAGAAAAAATCAGTGACATTTTCAATCAGAAATGCCCAAGATTCTCCTGCTTAATATGCAACTTGCGACGGGAAATTCGGCAATGATATTTACCGGGGTAACAAACCAGGATTGTTGCGATCGACATAATTCGATCAAAAGATAAAAACAAACCCGTTTTTCTATTATTTCTCGATATAATGGATGTTTATCATTTCACTGTTATCGGTTTTCATCAATTCTTGTCGACCTGGTACTATTTTAATCCACCCGTTTGGTAAAAATCTTTTACGCGTGTATGTTCCAAGTGACACCTCCCCCCCCCTCCCCCATTTAACGACGATACCAATATTCGATCACGTGGGAGTTCAAGTTGCCTACACAAAAAATTGAAAGCGAACATGACTTTAAAAAAATCCTCCCGTTCAGGGCCGGATTTACCTACTTGCCGCCCATGGGCCGCCTGTATTTTTGCCGCCCCTTCTCATTCGTTTTGAAACATCGATACAAACCATAGAGTGAATGTGCCGGAGGAGGAGGGGTGCATAAGACGCGTTTACTCTAGATGGGCACATTTTTCTATGAAAGCCCTGTCATCACTAGCAAATGTTCGTGGAACTTGGCGCAAAAATTAAGTTCCGTAAACCTATCTCTGTGTGGACGAGGCCTTTCATTCATTAGAAAAGAACGAAAAAATTGTGAAAGAATAAACATGAATGTGCGTGGTTTAATTTCCGCCATCGCGCCACCCGCACTGTTTGGCGCAATGTGTGACGTATCCCTACATTCTTGTAGGCGCTATGCGTTTTCCGCCGACCGCTGCTGATCGCACTGTTTTTGACGCAATGCGTGAAGTATTCATGCAGTCTTGTAGGCACTACGAATTTCACGCCGCGCCAACCGCTGCTGACCGCACTGCGTTTGACGCAATGCGTGAAGTATTCATGGAGTCTTGTAGGCGCTAATACGTGTTTCATGCTGACCGGCGCGGCGCGCCGAGAGCCTCTCCTTTCAATCTCAAGTCCTCGTCATCCTTGCTCTCTGCGCCGCGCCGCTCCAGGCCAAATTGCGTGTTTGGTTATTCTCTCTCAACTAGACTAATGAAAGGCGCTGTCTCTTGTATCACCGGAAGACGAACAAATTAGAAATTACTGTGCATTACACCAGAAAAAAAAAGAATCTTAAATTTGCCGCCAAGAAGTATTTCTTCTTAAATCAAGAATTTTGCTGGTTAATATAAGCTACTTTTTTGCTTAACCCAAGCATTATTTTTCTTGAATCAAGGAAAAGTCAGCTGAAAGCATGATAAAGAAAATTCTTGGCGGCAATTTCAAGAATTATCATGCTTGATCCAAGCTACTTTTTTTTCAGTGTAACTCTCAGGAAATGAGAGATTTTTTCGCCTTTTCTCGATTGCAATTTTTTTTCTGGGTTGGATTTTTTCTTGATACCTACATTTGAACAAATTACAATATTTGCCGCC